ATTTTCAAGTAAAAACACTACCGTTTTCACGTTGAAACCATAACGTTCGATTTCGAACACTGTTCATGCACACGTGATTTTTCACGTTTTAGGGAAATTGAAGCTTGTAGGAAGCTTGGTGAGGTCCCAAGGAGGCTCGGAGTGGTTCGTTTGAAGGATTTGGACGTCGGGATCACTGGTTTCGAAGTTGGCCAGAGTTAGATTGTTTTGGCAGGTGAGATTTCGTGGTTTTTAACCCTTAAAAGTGGTATAATTGTGTTCCCCTAGTTCTAAGCTTCATTTTGGTACCAATTTTGTCAAATTTGGGTGAAAAACAAAGGAGATATAAACGTTTGAAAATTTTCCAGTTTTTCGGCGCCGGAGAAGGAAACGGAATATTCCGTCAAGTCTGACGGAATATTCCTGACACCGTTGACGGAATCTGTCAAAACTGACGGAATATTCCCTACGGCGTCAGTTGATGCCGTCAGCGTGCCAGGCACGTGCCTGCGCGTGGCCAGAGCGTGGGGGCGCGTGCGGCGGTGGAAAATTTTTCTAAAAATTTGGGTGTGATCCTGAGGTGGAGTAGAGCACGTTGGTATATTCATTTGCCCCATTTGAGCATTGTATGAGAAATTATTACGAATGGTGGGTTACGTGCTTTAAAATTAACGTTTTTATAGTTGTTTCGCATATAGGTGATACATATCCCGAGGACGAGCGTGGTCACTCGAGGCAGGGGGGCTACGACCCTTCCACATACCAGTGAGTGGGCTTTTGGTTTTCCGTAAATACCTATATACTTATATTTTCCCAGAAATTAATTTGAATTGTTATTTGCCATATGCCATGCATTACATTATCGTTATTCATGCATCGTTGGTAGCATTAGTAGTTGCATATATATATATATATAGACATATGCATATCAGGTGCTGTGGACGCACAGGTAAGTGCCAGGTAAGTGTTATTCATGTTTACATTCAGTAGCGATTCGAGATGCTTAGAGAGCTCATAACCTGCACCCCCGGTGTTAGTGCTCCCGCCCAGAGTAGGGCACAGTCTTTCACGTGATGTTCACCTCCCGCACCACACGCTCAGCTTGGATCCAAGTTAGGTGCACAGTCCTGTCGTACAGACCACATTAGGTGGTTCCGACTCGTAGGTGACCCACGATTATTCGCACAGCCTTCACGTGATCATAGCACTAGAGCGTTTATATGTTACACCCAGGCCTGTCGTACAGACCACTTTAGGTGGTTCCGACTCGTGGGCAGGTTTAGTTATTGAGATTGAGATTTGAGCTCTAGATTCAGCCGTACATGTCACGTTAGGTGACTCCGGCTGCCAGATTATGTGTTATTGACATGATTTATACCTAAGCACTTGCATTTCATTATGAGGTTCCGACATGGCATATTATTGAGCATGATTGGTATATTTATATACGTATATATGTTTATTTTCTGGGAAGTATACAGGTTTTACGGCGAGGGGTTAGAACTTATTTATTAAATGGTTTTCGAAAAGCTTTGTTTTTGCCCACTCACGCTTTTGTTTTGCGCCCCTCCAGGTTCTAGTTGTCTAGCAGGTTCGGTGGTTTCCCAGAGGGCTTTCCCGGCATTTCTGACAGACGATCACCAGCGTAGGGTCACATTCGGGTGTACTGTTGTCGCATTATTTTTCTTTTGGACTGCTGTAGACTTATTGCTCTGAATTTGTGTCTCACTTACGCTAGCACTTGTTTCTATTACCTTATGTATGCTAGTTTTTATTTATTCGTACTATTTATATTACTATTTTATTAGCTTCCGCACCGTGCACATGGTTACGTCACTCTCACGTGACGGCCAGCACGCCCTGGTCTCGATCGGGGTGTGTCAATAACTAGGTTCAATCAATTAAAAGAGAATTGCAAGAAAAATAAAAGGAAAACTAATGAAAAGGGCTTGAAAACTTTGAGTTTTAACGATAAGGACAAAATAAAGGGTAAGGTGAATAGTACCAGGATTGACTTTTTAGTGTAAAAATGTGGTTTTTCGTTAAAGTGAACAATATCGGAAGCTTTTTGTTAAAGTTCTAAAAAATAAAAAGATGAGGGAAGAACAGAAGAAGGGGGTGAAACCTGGGAAGAACAGAAGGACCCGGTTCAGACGAAGGAGTAAGAGAAGACATACCTGAAATTCAGATAAGATAGTGCGCGTGAGAGGCAAAGAGTGCAATGAGATGACCCTTTTCTATTGTACTCAACTAAATAATACATCGCTTTTGGAGAGTATAAGTAAGTCGACGTATACCGCATAAAATAGGTGAGGCCGAATTATTTATTTCAATGACTATGTAATACAAATGGACACCAAACACTAGGCTCTGTATTATTAGTCCTATCCATTGAGTTATACGGCGTACCAAACGAGACCCTAAAATCCTACTATAATCCAAACTCTCTTGCACAAAGAGACAATTCCTTCACCTACATCACCTTCTCATCTCTGCCTCACCCCTCTACCATAATTCTCTACATTCAACTATTGCTAGAATTCAGAGTTCTTTCTATCTTTGTTTTATTTAGTTTCAATATTTTGTTATGAGTTGCTTTTCAATTATGATGAATATGTGTAAGTAAGTTCTTTTTAGCTAAAGGTGAATTCAAAGCTATGAAGATATGTTTTATTTGAATTGATTACATCTAGTTATTGTCTCATAAAATGTGAATGTGATTTACTTTAATGGTTTATTGATAACTTATTTTTGTATGTCTATTAAGGGTGCACACTTAGTTTGCATGCTAGAATTTGATACTACAATATAAGTGAATTTCACCTAATTATTATGAACTTGTACTCACAAGTAGTAAAAATCAATGGACGTTGATTAAGTTACTTTAAATCCTTTGCAAGAGTATGATGACATTCATAATTACAAATGCTTCATCAATTCTTATGATTTTCACAAAACTTAATGATCTTTGATATGTGTTTCTATCTTTTCATAGTTAAGGAACTTGAAAAGAATCATTTGGTTGCGACGTTGAGTTCAATTTAATGAACTTAGAAAAATATGAGAATTAATTAAAGTTGTTCACAATTAATTTGGAGCAGTCATTTCACGGTTCGTAAGAAAAATAATTGAAAAATCAATTTGTGTGCATAAGTTTCAAGTGTGCAAGACAATCTTTAGCTAGCCTTTCATCCATATCTCACTCACAACTTAGTTTACTTGCTACTTTTGTTTTAATTTCATTTTAGTTTAGTATAATTCATTTGAATCCCCCATTGTTTCATTGTTTGTTTAATTTAGTTTTTTAGTTTGTGTTGATTAACAGCCATTTTAATTGCCGCAATAGAACGATCTATATTTACTCGTACCCCGGTCACATTTTCTACAGGGTTTAATTTGTGAGTTAACTTTTATCACATCAACTTACTATCTCCCCATTAACCACATATTTTTGACATTTTTCCTCCAATTGTATTATGATATGTGAAATACCGTTTAAAATAGATACTTGGAAAAGTTTCTTACTCACTCACTATTTTTCTCTCTGTATTTAATTTTTCTCACATGACTTATTATCTTTACTATTAGTTGTCATCTATTTTCATGCTTTTACAGAATCCTTGTATCTTCTCTCCGTTGAATTGCTCCCATTTAATCAATTTCAACTCCTACTAGATCAAAACTTCCGTCCACTACCAAGCGGTAACTTCCCAATTTTCACGCACAATTCTATTTTTTCGTTTCTCTCCAATATTTTATGTACACTTTATCATTCCCATATATAAATTCAAATGTTCTAATTTCTATGTGCTCCATTGTATCTTTTGGATAAGTTTCTGTTAAGTTTTTCAAATTTTAATTGCACTTTTTTTAGTCTCAATTGTTGATGTTGCAATACATGCAAACGAAATCTAACATTTTATGTGATTTAAAAATATATATTTCAATTGACGTTTGTACTGTTTTCTTCAAATTGTAATTTCATGTCAAATGACTTTCATCTATAAAAACTTGTGCCAAGTTGTTGGTGCTTATGCAAATTGCTTGCAACCCTTATATCTATGATGGTACATTATAGTGCATTATTCACATCTTAATTAGTTAAACTTCTTATTTTATCATTATTACTTGCAGATTAACCATGAAAATTTGAAACATCAAGTCCAAACAAATGGGCGGCAAGCATAACTTTGACATCACAAGTAGACGTTATGTCATGTACATATTGTTCATATCTTTTTTTGCTTGATACATTAAAACATACCATGATTAAAGAGAGCATGATTTGGTAATGGCAGCATCACGTCGCAAGTAGAATATGTTTTTGTATGTACATATTGTTCATCTTTCATTTTGGATTCATGTATCAAAACAGACCTCATTTGATCATGATAGCTTGAAAAAATATGAAGTACGTTGTGTAATTAAATATTAACGCCATTTTGTTTGGTCATGGTAGCTTGAAAAAATGTGATAAAAAAAGGTCTTTTAGACACGCGTACGTGCATGCAAAAATGCTAGTAAATAAGAAAATGCATGATTTTTTAATGTAAAAAGTTATTCTTCTTTAAAATTATAAATATTGTTTAACACATGTACAAAGGTAATTCAATAAAAAGTTATTCTTCCTTAAAGTAAATAATACTGCAGATTTTTCGTTAAATCTTCCACTTTTACAAAAAAATTAAAAAAATTAAAAAAAAAAAAAAAAAAACCTCTACCCCAAGAGACTAGGAGGATTTTTTTTCTTAGTACATTGATATTTTTATATTAAGGGGAGGAAAGTTTGGCAAAACTACACAATAAACAACCTAATTTCATATCAAATTCGTCATCCATAAGATTCGAACTTAAAATCTCTCACTTTTAACTACCAGATCATAGTACTGAGAGACAAGAGTAGGAGGATGTTAGGTATAAAACAAGTAATTCACCCATCACTAAGTTCACTGAATTTAAGACAAGATATAGATATGATCTGTCTCCTGATGGAGTCTTGAACTCTGGAGTGGAATGGATAAAATCATAAGTAAAAAAATCACAAATTAGAAAATACTTTTCCGAAAAAAGGAATCAGATAAATACCACCAAAAACAAAAACAATCTCTCTCTCACACACAGCACAAGGAGAGCTGAAGGAAACACACACTCAGAGAGAGGAGAGCGAGAAGGGTAGATAGTTGGATTCACGAGCTGTATCCTAACGCCTCTGCAACACCAATCAGTGTGCTAAAACATCCAGAAATTTTTTGACATAAATCAGAGAAACCCCCATTTCTGAGTTGGGTGGGAGCTTCACGGGGACGAACACATCTCAGTCTTTTTCTCCACCCACCAGCTTTTCCCATCAATCCAGTGGTCCAGGCACTGCCACCTGACCTCAACTACCGCCCCTTCGGTTGGTTTGATCACTGCTTTGCCCTTCCCATCTCTCTCTCTCTCTCTCACATTAGAGAGAATCAGAGAAAGGGAGGGACTTAATTGGGTTTTTGTTTTTTGGGTTTTTCAGAAGGTGTTGATGTATATAGAGGGAGGGAGGGAGGAGATATATGAATCGGTCTGTGCTCACAGTTGGGCCAGCCATGGACATGCCGATCATGCACGACAGCGACCGGTACGAGCTGGTTCGGGATATTGGGTCGGGAAATTTCGGGGTTGCACGGCTTATGAGGGACAAGCAGACTGGTGAGCTTGTTGCTGTGAAATACCTAGAGCGAGGTGAGAAGGTTAGTCTTTCAATTTTTCTCTTCCTTTTTTTTAGGAAATTGTTATTACCATTCCAAAAATCACATTCTTAACTCCAAAATTTTTATATTAGAAAAGAAAAATACACTTGTGATGAGTGTGTAGATAGAGATTTTTGAAGTGTCAATAACACTTTCCTCTTTTTGTAATGTATATATATATATGTATATATATATATATGGATATCATTTTTGAAATGGGTTTTGAGGCTTGAATCATTTGTTGGAAGAATGGGAATCGAATTGAGCAGATTGACTTGGGTAAATCGTACCAGCGAGATAAATTTATAGAGAGACTGTGTGTTTTCTGTGCGTTGCGTGAAGGGATACGTCGGCGTCTTACAAATTCAGAATTTTCTGTATTTTAGGAGTTGATTGCTTTCTTGGGCATTTTTTATTTATAAATTATTTGGTTTATAGGTGAAGGTTGATGTGTTTTTTAGTTTATGGTTGATTGTTTGGTTTGGTTTCCTCTTCTGATTGTTCCCAAATTGTTTTTGGATTTTATTAGTATTTCGATGGGAGTTTGTCGAAGTTGATTATCTACTCTTTTCCTACTGAAGTGTTTTTAAACTAGTTGTTTTTAGTTGGATTTAAATTCAAGTGCTAAGGACTGTGTTTGGTGAAAAGCTGAACTCGACAACTTAATGGAGGATGGAAGAAAACAATCACGCGCCGTCTGTTAAATTATTGAATAAACCAAGGAAAAGGAATAAGCAGTGAATTTTAAACTGCGAATTTTTTTACCTTTTTGTTATGGAGATTGTCTGCTGAGTGGGAGGACTTGTTGTCATTGATGCCATTTGAGGACTGCAGACTAATGGTTCTCATTAGTGAATCAGAAGCAGAAGGACTTTGGCTTGATGGGTTTTAACAATCGCATGCTTGCATTTTTTTTCTAAACCGCTTAATAACAATTTTATTTTATGTTCTTCTTATCCATAGTGTGAATGAATCTTGAATTTGATCTTAAAATTAATCATATAGCAGCAAACATTGCCTGATTGAGATCTTTTCATTTATGCGAAGATAAGATTTTACTTTCATATTATGGTTTGTATTGGCCGTTGTAGGGCTTGGTAATTCCAATTAATATTCTCCTTTTACCGTTGATTTACCCTACGTCTATGCTTTTGTCTGACAGATAGATGAAAATGTACAAAGGGAAATTATAAACCACAGGTCGTTGAGGCATCCGAACATTGTCCGGTTCAAAGAGGTCTGTTAAATATTAACATCTAAACACACATTAATTTCACCATGGAACTCAGTTTCGTTACTTTATAATTTTAGGTAATATTAACACCAACTCATCTAGCTATTGTGATGGAATATGCATCTGGGGGAGAGCTCTTTGAGCGGATATGCAACGCTGGGCGTTTCAGTGAGGATGAGGTTCCAAATTCTAATCCAACACATTGATTTTGTTTATAGTAACGAGGGCGTTTCAGTTAGATGGAAGTCCAGCTCCTCGTTTAAAAATATGTGACTTTGGCTACTCAAAGGCACTACTCTCTCTCTCTCTCTCTCTCTCTCTCTCTCTCTCTCTCTCTCTCTCTCTCTGTGCATGCACAGAGGCCTTCATTTTGCAGGAGTCCGGTGCTAAATTATGACAGATCTCTGGTGATTAAACTCAAAACAGAAATGTGTTTGGAAAATGCATGTTCTATGTTCTTCTTTAACTGGTAGATACTGCACAGCAATTTGTCTGCCTCTTTACTCTTGTGATAATGGTTAAGCGTCAGCTATCTTTCATTGCTAGTTTTACTGTCTATATTTATCATATCCATCTAATTACGCTCGTCTCTATTCTCCAGTCCTCGGTGCTGCATTCACAACCAAAATCGACCGTTGGCACCCCTGCATATATTGCACCTGAGGTGTTACTCAAGAAAGAATATGATGGAAAGGTAATAGTACTTTTCATCTACATCGATGAATCTATTTAAAGTCAGGTAGGATAATTTGTTGGTTAATTGGTTATATTTGTTCCACTTTGATTTAATTTGTTTCACTTTTTTTCTTATTCATATCTGCATATAATAAACTAAGCTTAAGACATTCTGGAATATAAGTTAGCTTACAACTTTTAATTGTTTTGTCTAACCGTATATACTCCCATCCTATAGTTTGAGCATATAAAGCTGTGCCATTTCTCTCTCGAAACTCTGAGTACTCCAACCACAACCGTAATCAGTTCCCAGTCTGGTAGGTACCCCATGCAGCTCAAAACAAGTCCACCATTTCATACACGGAGTCAGATATGAGTTCATCTGGCAGAAGTCTAATACACCATGATCCATGGATGAGCAAGAAAAGATTGTATTGAATCCACAATTATAATCTTTGGGTATCTGAAATTTACATCTAGATATTTGCCAACCTTTTTTGCTTGTTTAATCCTTGTTTTCGGTGGAGTTGCTACCTGAAGCAAATGCAATTTCAGGGAAGCGAAAAATAAAACAGTTTCATGCTGGCAATTTGATTACTCACCAGTCACCACTCCCACGAAGTTTCAGCGTTGGAATTCGATCCTGCATAACTGATTCTATACTGTGCAATGATATTTTTTTAGTGGCATAAATACTGTACATTTCTGCACAATCACACTAACAGTCTCCGTTTTGATCTACCTTTCCAGATTGCAGATGTATGGTCTTGTGGGGTGACCTTATACGTCATGTTGGTGGGTGCATACCCATTTGAAGATCCTGGGGAGCCTAAAAACTTCCTCAAGACAATACATGTAACTTTTTGAACCGTATTTTCTACCGAAACTTGGTAGCTATGATACTTAAGTCTAAGGTTTTTCCTCTTGTGCAGCGGATAAGGAATGTCCAGTACTCTATGCCTGACTATGTTCATATATCTCCAGAGTGCCGCCATCTAATATCAAGGATTTTCGCAGCTGAGCCTGAGAAGGTGCGTGATATTCTTCATATTATACTTTCATTAATGCAATAAATGCATTGCCGGACAAGCGGCATTTGTGCGTAATACTATATTTCTTTAAGCTTCACTAGTTGTGCCTTCATTAGCTTGCTTCCCCGTATTTGATTAGGGGTTAAAGAAGAATGTTCTGTTTCGATTTTTGTGTGCAACAGAGGATAACCAACCCCGAGATTAGGAACCACAAATGGTTTCTAAAGAACCTTCCTGCAGATCTAATGGTTGAAAACACCATGAACAACCAGTTTGAAGAGCCGGATCAAGCCATGCAAAGCCTTGATGAGATTATGCAGATAATTGCCGAGGCTAAAATACCTGCGGCCGGGGCCAACAGTCTCAACCAGTATCTTGCTGGCAGCCTGGACATAGATAACATGGAGGAGGACCTCGAGTCTGATCCCGACATTGACACCGACAGCAGCGGAGAGATAGTCTATGCAATTTAATTGGTACAATGTCTTGAAGCAACGGAGGGTTCGCCCTCCGCCTGTGTTTCTGTCTCTCCTTTTTAGTGGCATGCTTCACTTCATCTGTATTGTTTTGTTGTTACAAACAACAAAAAAATTTACTTTCATAGCTCATACGGTGCCACTCCGTTACAAATATTTCATGGACCTCCGGAACTGAGAATATTACGAAATTAGATTCAACGTAAAACTAGTGATCCCGAAAACAGCGAATCATGGACAGCCGGTTGACGGCTAACCATCATCACATACGAACATAATAAACGGCTGTCAAGATATTCCTACATTTTATGACTAGAAATAGGGTTGACGGCTAACCATCATCACATACGAACATAATAAACGGCTGTCAAGATATTCCTACATTTTATGACTAGAAATATAATGTTCTGCAGCCACACAGATGGCATGTGAGAGCAAGTATCAAAAATCATTCCAAGTTAGAAAAAGCAAGAGAACATATGGGAAAACTGTAAGAGACGACATCCTTTACCAGCTATAGTATCAGCTTTCAGAACCAACGGTCTCTGTTGCTGGGGCCAACGCCTCTCCATCTGATTTCTTGTCACCGGTTCTTTCAGCTCCGTAACCTGATGGCTCTTCGTATCCATTGGTTGGAAGCTCTGAATGGCCTTCTTGCTGATGCTGTGACTCTCCGTTGTTTGTAGGAGGATTCACTGCTGGGGCATAATGTGAAGGGTCTGGCTGATGGTGCTCACCGTGTCCATATGCTGCGGGCTGAGATGCGGCAGAAGGGTCTTCGACCCCCTGCTGCCCTCCATAACCTGCTTGGTAATAACCAGGATGTGGTTGGTGGCCTGTGCTGCCTGGATGAGTCCAATACCCAGCTTGAGGGTTTGCCATTGGCTGGCTGTAAGGAACTTGATAAGCAGTTGAAGGCTGGGTACTTTGGGAAGCAGTTGCATCCCCAATGGATGGCACCGCAGATGGTCCATACCCTGAAGTTGCATATTGTTGCTGGTAATCAGATATTGGAGCTTGGCCTCCATAACTTGGTGGCTGCTGAGCATACCCCTGATCATAACCATGGCTGGCAACGGGAGGTGTCTGATTGTAGTTATAGCTAGGATTTTGAGGTTGTTGTCCATAGTAATTGTATCCACTACCATCCTGAGGTGGTTGAGAGGTGGCTAATTGGTTTGACTGATCCCAACCTGCTACCTGTGTAGGATAGTTGCCGTAGTATGAAGCAGGAGGTGCATAACTTCCTGGTTGTGCGTACCCATAATGCGGCTGCTGTTGCTGTCCTGGTGGGGCCCAACTACCAGGGGGGAAAGACTGCTGGACATAACTATTCGTTCCAGAGGAGTTTACCATATGCTTCTGCAGAAGTGAAACCAAGGTGTTGAAATAAGATAATATTTTGATTAGTTTTGAGGAAGGACATCATGAGAAAGGTAATGGGAACTGGATGTTTCGAATGCTAGACAAGCCAGTACGAGCAGAAGTTGACCAGAAACCCAGGTTCGAATTTAGGCCATGATATCTGACATTCAATTATATGTTCACGTATATAAAAGAAAGATTATAAGCAAAAATTAGTGAAAAAATAAAGTACAAAGTGATGGAAATATGATGAGTAGCCCAACCAAACATACGTATGGCTTGAGAAAAAAATCATTGAATTACCAAGTGTTCCTTTTTGCCTTCCCCATTCCCTCCCAAAGGAAACTTGTGATTATTTCAATTCTATCCACCACTTTCTTTGGGATTTGAAACAAAGACGGACAATAGGTAGGAATGCTTTCAAAAAAATTTATCACCTCTCAATTACTCAAACCACAAAACAAATCAGTTCTAGGGTTCTCCCACATTTATAACCACAATAAGTTAGTCGCCAATCTTTCACCACATCTAAACCTATTTGACAAGCTGTGCAATTATCCATCTCTTATGAAACCCTATTTTTTCTTCTTTCCCATAAAACTGGCAAAAGTTGCTAGATTAAGTACAAAGATTCAAATCTCACTTCAAACATGGCAGGAGTGCATAAAATCGAGATTCATGAAGACCATAAAACTCCTGGAAATCTGACCTTGCTAACCCAAACAAGATTTTGTTCATCAGATTAAAAGGTCAATTGTTGGAAAAGAAAGAAATGCCAGTTCTTTATAGGTTTGTGCATTTTAATTTTTATTGAACTTAGGAAAGGAAAAAGGTCGAATACTGAAAGAGGTACCAACAAGCACTGATGACTCACCCCGCTGATTACTTCATTGACCAATTCTTTGGCTGCTTCAATTTGCTCTGCCGTTCCATTTATATGTACTGATCTTTCAGTTGACATATCACCAGGAGGAGGATGCAATGGTACCACCTGAAACAAAATTATGTCTTAAATATAATGGAGATAAGATACAAGAATACAAGAGAGAAATAGCATGCGAGACTTGTTCCATGTGTGAGACGATAGCCATCCTGCAAAAATGCCTATGCTGTTTTTACTGAAGACCATAATCTCCAATATGATGCAGAAAGGTTCAAGTCATATGACAACTTTAGGATTAAAAATAGCAGATAAACATTTAACATAAATACAAACCTACAACTAAAAGAAGCAATGCTAAAAGCTAGACCAATCATTGAGCAAAAATAGAAAGAGGGTCAAGGTTTAAGGTTCAACCATGGTCATACATGGGCTATAATAACAGTACAATTATATTTTTTTTATATTTAATTATCTCATGAAAATTAAAGACAAAACTTAAGAAATAAGGTACTCTGTAAGTCTAAAAATTAAGGGTTTTGAAAAGAATATGTATTTGGAGTAAATGAACTCAACTATCTTGTATTTCTTTTCGAGTATAAAATATCACTATGTAAACATACAATCCACATTTTTGTATTGCATAATTCATGTCATTGGGTTTAGCTCTTTTTCTGTAGAGCTTATATGTGTGGGTGCACGGATAAAAAACGAACATATTTACATATTTCTTATTATGGTTTTCGTACTTTTCTTTAATGGACCTTGTCCCCGAATAATTGGAGGTTCAGTTTTTTTAAAACAACATATGATCATTTCCAGGATTGTTTCAAAAAGAAAAATTATACAAGAGAAATGAGTACTGGAATCTAGTAAATCAATTCACACCCAAAAAACCAGCAATCTTGGGCCCCATACCAAATTTTTAGAATTGGGGCCAAAAAGCCTCAATTTTCGAAAACATCAAATTGACCTTAACACAGTAAAGAATGCAAATAAGAACCAAGTTTCATAATTGCATTTACTATTTTGAGAATGTTGTTATAAATTCAATTTGAAAATAAAATGTGACCAATGCCAATGGATTTGTAAGATAGTATAAGTGGAAGTCCATATTAATATCACTTCCAATGACTTGTCCTCCCCCCCCCCCCCCCCCACCCCCCCTCTCTCTCTCTCTCTCCCCAACAACCCCCTTCTCTCCTTCCCTCTCTCCTCCTTTAAAGTGAAAGTGCTCACCTGAATACGAGCTCCTGACTTGCTTTGCATAGTCCTGATCGTCTCACCTCCCTTGCCTATAATCAAAGCAACCTACGACAATCATGAAAGCAAATATGAACATTAGTACATTACCATGTGCATCAAATATAGAAAAATAACTACTAATGATCTAACCTTATTAGTGGGTACTTTCATTATAAACTGTTCTGATCCAGGTTGCATTGAGTTGAATCCCTGATTTGTAGATGGAACCCCTGCATCTGCCTGTACATCAAAAATATCAGAACGCCTTTTTAGAGACTGATACCTTTTGGATTTATGAAACAGCAAGAACATCAATGCAAAACAAATATAAACATCAGGTTTTACCTCTGCTAGGACATCACTGATAAGTTGTTCTGCCCTACTGATCTGCTCAGGCGTACCGGTCAAGTCCACATCCCTCATAAGAGAAGTAGGATCAGCTTCTGAATCCCGGGTTATCTGGATTTTGGCCCCTGACTGAAGTTGTAGACTTTTTATCGTTTCTCCTTGTTTTCCAATAATTACCCCAACCTAAAGGTAGAATTACCAAAAAAACAAAAAGAAATATCATCAGTGTTATGCCATGAAATAATTCCGAGCAGCAAGAAACCAACAAAGTACCTTCCCATTTGGTATAGTTATTTTCTTGCTTGTGCTTGGAGAGCCATAAGACTGTCCTGATTGCGAAGTAAAAACTGGACCAATTTTTTAGTTAGAAAGGCGAAGACCAGAAAAGGTCTCAGGCACTTCTTTAAAAAGGGATAATTGTATAAAAATAAACACCACGAATTCTAAAAGCAACGGGAGAGGATCTGTATCATGTATATGAATTACAAGAAACAGGCAGATACCTTATTTTTAACTACTGTATCATATGAATATAAAAATGAAAACTTTAAGCATTTCCTTCCACAGAATAATACAACAATTTGGATACGTGCACAACGGTCCCTAAGTAAACAAGAGGGCATTGAGCACTCGTGGAAACCGAGGCCAATTATCTAGAAGCAACATTACTCCTCGAAATCTCAAGAAGTCATGGAGCAGAGTGTAGACATCGAAATTTCAATTTCGTGTTTACACAGAGTAGTTAACTACTTAAACTTTTGGGGTCATAACAGGGAAAACTGAAACTAGTGCGAAGCCCGAACCCCAAGTACTCACTATCACTGAAATTCCCTAAACCTAAAGTTTTAACGACCTTGCTACTTAATATTCGGTCTGGTATTCCTCTTCACCCACATTCACACTTAATTCAATCCTAAAATCTCCAAAAATATTGAGCTAGGGATTACAATTATCTTCCTTTCAATTTTTGTAATTTTCAATTAACAATGGAAGAAATAATAATAATAATATATTAATAATTAAAATAGAATATTAAAATAAATATAAAAAAAAATCTAAAACCCTAGAAAGTAGAAAGTATAGGGATAAAGAAGTAGTACCAGGGTAAGGAGGAGGGTTGTAGACGGGGCTGGGTTGGCGGTAGGGATGTTCCTCCTCCAGTCGAGGACGCTTTGACTCGGCGTCGCTAACAAGTCGGGCGGCGATTTCCTGAGCTTTCTGCTTGGCCAGTAGGATGCTGATGCTGCTGTCTTCCAGCTTTCGCTTTTCGCCGGTAGCGGCTTCTCGGTATTGGTCTTGGTCTTCTTTCATGGCGGAATAGCTCTGTGACTCGGTGAATGACTCGACCACAAATTAGAGAGAGAGAGAGAGAGAGAGAGAGAGAAGGGGGCAGCGACGAAAGGAGGAAAGGAATTGGGGAAGGAATTGGTTAACGGTTCACCCCGCGATCGGGACCGTTGCCTCTCCAGGTAAAACGCACCGCTTCACAGGTCTCCAGATATGTGCAATTTCGGTATTACGCTATCGCGGATGCACACGTTATGGTTCGGTTCTTGTAAACTCAAAACCGAAACATAAATAAATAAATTAATCAGTTGGGTTTGGTTTGGACTTTAACCCATACACATTGGAGGCAGTTGTCTCCGCTCAACTTTTTTTGTCTGAAAAATTAAATCTTATCCAAATACTCAACTCAAAATATCCTTTGGCGTTTCGATTTTTCTTACCCCTCATCCTTTTCTAATCATGTATTTTCTCTATTAGCTAATAGTTTACAATTTTATCATTCCAAACACCAGCTATTCAAAATTATGTTATTAAGTTAATACCATTATATTAAAATTTTAATTTAATCAATCATTCAAAGTTACCGCAACTAAAAATTATTTCTCACTCATGCCTCATTTGATTTTAAGCTGAAGCCTCAAACACAGTTTCACTACATGAATTTATTAACGAACTCAAAGAAATACCAAAAATAAAGGAGACGAGGGAGGTTTTTTTTTTTTTTTTTTTTTTTTAATTAACAATTTGCATTATTTTATTACTGAAATTGGTAAAATGCGCATGCAACAAGTTAACAATTGACGGAAGGAGGTAACGGGAGACAGATACAAAGATGAAAGCATAAGGAAAGCGTTACGGTAAAAGCACATAAGGTGTTTAGATAAATAAGTCTAACATATAGCTCATTTGGATGTACTTTTAAAATATCTAAAAGCACTTTTAGAGAAAATGTTTTTGGATTCCAAAAATACTTGAAGTGTTTTCTGCAAGAATCACCCGCTTGTAATTCTTCCAGAAAGCACTTTAAGTGCTTTTCCAGGATTTACTTGCATTTTTACTCATGATTAGTTCTAAAAATCTTTTCACCAAAAGCGTTTTCAATCATTTTAAAATCACATCCAAACGAGCTCATATATATTTCACAATCCCACCAAGGTTACAGCAGGAGAAAACAATGTTATTCCCTAATAAAAAGGGGACCAACTGTGGCTTCACCACGGCAGTCCACCTTTTCGGAGACCAGAAAGACTCACAAAGGCAATCCAACCTCCCCCAGCCTCCCCCAGCCACCGTTGTGCGATTCACCAAGGGCAAGAATCAAACCCAAAACATGTCATTCAGGCCTAGAATTCGTCTCCAACTACTAAACCACCCCGTAGGGATTGGGGAAAGTACCTTTTTTTTTTTTTTTTTTTTTTTTTTTTGAGTAAAAGCATACCATTTACGAAAATTTTGTTCTCCGGAGTATAGGATACTCTAGATAATATCCCTGCTCTACAACTCCAAGTTGACACGGTAATCATAGTTTCCTTCACTTATTTAATTAAACCAGAAATTAAAATCAGCATTAAAAAACTCTACCCGCAAAATTACAATTTGGAATTAAAATCTGCAAACATTGGAGGTCAAAAGGTAACTCTAAACTTGTGTAACCAAAGTAAAGTCCTAGATATAGTCATGCAGCTCTTGCAAACAACTTTTTCAACACTTTAACTACCTGCAACAATCAATGGACTGCAACTTATCAGCCAACGTAATGTAGAAGCCCAGATACAATCATAGAAGTACCAAAAAAAAAGACAAAAGCATTCCATCTCAGGTTATATGAATATGAATGAGGAAATGAAAGTCGAGATATTCTCAATAGCACTATTTTTTGGGACTCTGACAACGAACGATGAACGACAGAGCCTGCCCAACGTTGTTATGGTATTATACAAGATGTCATGAAGGAGCAAGCCAAAATGGTGATGGTGATCATACTAATGCAGAAGAGAAGCTACTAGGATAACAAGAAGCCAAAAATGGAGGGATGGCGGTAAACAATGGACAAGAGCTAAAACCCGAGATGATAAAATTGAGTTTAGCTAGCCAAAAAGGAAGTCGTAGTTTAGACTCGTCTGCTTACTCATGTGCGATGAACTTATATGCTAAGGAAACAAGGGTTGATAAAGAAGCCCCGTGTTTTCTGGAAATCCCATCATCAGATTAAGATTCTGTAAGGCTTGGCCTGAAGCTCCCTTGACAAGATTATCAATCTGCACCAACAATTCAAAAGCTTGACTGTCAGCTGATAATAAAATACGATCAGACTCACATGGAACTTGGAAGCCTAAATTTTCACAAACACAAGGATGGAGAACATAAAACATACAACAGAAATGATTATTGCTCTCCCAGGAATTCGATCAGGAAAGACATTGATGAAACAAAAGTTAGACCCTCGAGTGTTATGAGTACGAGGAACAGCTCCTTCCTCCAATACAACTACAAATTCTTCATCCTGAAAATGGAAAAAAGTTAGAAAAGAATAACCAATACTTTCATCCATCACACCAATACGAGTAGAGAAAAACATATATGATACAGGCATCTAAGCAATATATACACAAGAATAAAGTGCTTCCTACTGCTACCGCTACACTGCAAGGAGATTAAGGGCCAAAGGAAATATACGACTTATGTGCTATTAATCAGATAAGTACAACTAGGAGTCCCACACTCAATATTTTGTGGTTTGGCATTGGCTGTTTACACAAGAGTGTTTCAGCCAAAAGAAAAAGTAATTCAACCATCAATCCTAGTAACCAGGTAACACATAACTCCGGCAGATAGTTAAGCCGTGATAGTCTAGCTACTAATGCAAATAACTGCTAACTAATTCAGGTAATTGTTATCTAAGATCTCGTGGGAATTTATGGAAGGAAAGTTCTTGCTTGACAGGAATATCAATTACTTTTAATTATTAAACCAAACTACTGCAAGTGGTGGATAAAAAAAACTTTCTGATAGAGTGCCTGCATTTAGAGCTCAATGCAGTGACCTTAATTCACCCTGATTATCAGAGACCGATCAGATAAGTACCCAACCAGCAGAAGAAAAAATTAACTAGCATACCTCATAGGATAACTTCAGCTGTTGGTTTAAGTCCTTGAAATTTACCCCTGCAGCCAGTTCCACATAGATAGTTGATTGCATACCACGACTCTAAACGACAAAATACAATAGTGCTTAGTCCTTTATTAGCAAAGAATGAATCGGAAAATACGGATTCTCTAAGTGCATATGAGTGTAGTAGTTACCATTGGCATTAGGTGTGGAGTAAAACTAACGGTTACTTTTGAATTTGCAGCATCAGATAGTCCCTGCTCAATTTCCGGAACTGAATTTCAAAAATGATCTGGGTCACTACCTTATGCAATTAAATAAAAAACACACATGATCTTTAGTGTTTAAAGTTTCTAGCTCTTCATAAATTCATGAGAATCCTTCCACAAATAAATAATTTCATGTAAGTACCAAGAATATCTAGTAATTGTTTTTTCTGTCAGAGAAGTTAAAATATAAATTTTTTAAAATTCAAAACCTTACCATGACGGTGACGAGTAACACCATAAGAATATATGCCCTCGGCTATTTCAGTGTACAAGTTTGCCTCCTTGGCACCACGTCCTGGACGATTAACAGGTTGTAGAAGTCAACAATGGAGCACTAAGAGTATATCGAGTAAAATTTTGCATGGAAATGTTTCAAATTGCAATCCAATCCTAACCTGCTCCACTAACACCAGATTTCGAGTCAATAATAATATTTTTAGATTCAATGAGATTGGCCTGCGAGGAAAATGCAATACGAGAACCATAAGGCATACTTGATTATGGTTTCTAGAGTGTAGAGTCAAGACATAGCATTTGGTATTGCCTTTAAAGATTATCAATGAGTGACAGTGCTCTCCTATCTGTATATAGGTTTGTATTTCAGCCACATTCTTACATCTCAATTAGCAGAGCAAAACGTGGAAGTTGACAATGCTCTCCTATCTGTATATAGGTTTGTATTTCAGCCACATTCTTACATACACACACCTTGATCAATGGAACAAGTGGAAGTTGAACAGAAGTTGGATAACAACCAGGGTTCGCAACTACGCGCGCACCTTTTATCTCCTCCCTCAAAATCTCTGTCAAACCATATACAACTTCTTTCTGAAACCAAGAAGATAAACACTTTTTACAATTAGCAGAGCCAAAAGTTCAAGAAATAAGGGCAAGATGGTGCCTGAGTTTTATTAGTATATACATTTTCTACGAAACCAAAATGAACTTTATGACAACAAATTAATCATGCCAATATTTGTTTTTTTTTATCAAAAGTTGAGGTTTCAATTTATTCCTAGAGTATTGGTTGGTGGACTTAGTAATTCCATATAAGTTTTGATAAGAAAAGGAGACTATCCTACCTGCAACTCTGGTGCGCTATGTGCCTGACCATACCATTCTTCATACTCAGATATGTCTCGTAGACGGAAGTCCTGAAAATACCATCACGTAAACATTAAAATGAGAAAGTTTGGAAGCTAAATATACAGTAGAATGCCAACAACAAATTCCAAAAGCACTGTAAATCATCCTATGCATACAGCAGACAGATCAACAATCTTTAAACTCTTGGGAAGGCCTTTGATAATTTCCTGCAATTGAAACATTAAACATGTGCAAGTTAGAAATTGAGGAGCAGATGCAGATGAGAAAGGATTGACAACTATAGAGGAAAGGAGAAACAACCTGTGTGGTTCCATGTGGCAAACAACAAAAAACAGCATCCACATCAGAAAAATCAGCATCCTTTATAGCAACCATTTTTGGTAGATCCTGCAAACACAAATAAAAGTCCACCAAAGTAATTCTGAAGCATTAAATATTATGCCATGATAAAATGTAACACCATCAAACGATTGAAACTCCATTAATTGACCATTACAACATATAAAACTAAAGGGTTGGATGTCATATGAAGCATAGGTTTATGAGGATACAAGGAGAACGAGAATGACAGCTACTAATGAATTACCCCAACCCTCATCATATCTTAATTCAAGTCTTTGCCCTAAGAGAAAACACATTAATCATAAGCAAAACTTACTTGGGAAACTAGATGCGGAAACACCGACCCTATTGACTGTCCAGCTTTTCTATCAGCCGTCATCAAGGTAATGCCAAAGTGAGGATGGTTTGCCAAAAGCCGAACAATCTTCCAAAAGAAAGATAATCTCAGTTCATTACAAGGCAGTTTAAAAAGTATCTCAGTATCTTACCCAATTCAATTCTCATACATAGTTAACAATATATTAAAAAACAAGAAGGAAGGAATGATTTAAAAAGGGCCAATTAGAAGCAATAAACATATTTTGACATTTGGTTTGAATATCATTTTTCAATAACGATATATCTACCACAAAACAAAGGCATAACGACAACACAACAATGATATGAGGACGACTGATCATTTCTGCTCAAAAATGTCAAAATATGTTTATTATAGCTAATCACCCTTAAAAAAGGGTTTATACCTCAGAACCAGTGTAACCACTGGCTCCAAGAACACCAAGCCGAACTTCCTTTTCTGCTTTCTGGGTTTTCGTATTCACATAACATTTAACAAACACCTTCCCTGCATTGCGCGTATCGGCCTTCAAATTGTTCACCCCGTCCTGCAAGTCCTGCAATTTCAAAACTTCAACGATAAACTTCAACTTGTAGTCTTGTACGATGAAAAGCACTCAACCCAACAAATCAAAGTTTCTAATTCACAGAAATTTTACAGGGTTTAACTATCGTACACTCAACCCAACAAACCAAAGTTTCTAATTCACTGAAATTTTACCATGCAGGGGCTTAACTGTTTTTTTTTTTTTTTTTTTTGCCGCATTTCTGGGACAAACAAATAGCTAGTAGGTTGAGGAGTAGAGACCTTGCGGAGGCAGCCGGTTCGGAGAAAAGTGGAGCTGAAAGTCGCAGAGTTCATTCTTCTGTCGGAAACTTGCTACAACGCAGCAGCCTTGAAGGATTAGATGCTCAGAGGATTGCCAAATTCTACCAAAACGGGTTTTTCTTAGAGCGTTATTCTGATATTAGTTTTTTTATTTATCAAATTTCATGTACTAATTTCATATAAGTCATGAGTATTTTCCTAATTCAATGATGGCCGATCATGGTGGATTTTACTTATTATGTCAACCGAATTTATCGATTTTGTGTCAATTAATAATAGCATAGTATTGTACAAAATCGAAATTTTATGATACGATTTTGGTATTCAATATTATTACTATAGTACTATCGTATCGTATCCAAAAATATAATCATATGTATAGAATTTATAAATTATATAACACATAATTATACAATATATATGTTTCTAATATTATTTATAATATTTGTTTGGTTCGATCCCCACCTGACCAAACCAATGACACTAAAGAAAAAAAAAAGAATAGAAAAGAAAACCCTTCAGCAACTCAGGTGCCGTCGACTCCACACTCATTCATCTCTATTAATTGCTTTTGTTTTAAGGTTCATTGTGTTTATAAACCTTCTTGTAATATGGAAAAAGTAGTGCGATCTGGATGTTGTAAGTAAAAAATAATTGGATTCACCTTTGCCAAGCACCATAAACATGTCTTCAAACCAGATGATGTTATCAGTTACCATGCCATAACTATGTTTAATGTGCTATAAATATATATGTTTAACAAAGTGGTAATTGTGATTACCATACCATGTCAACCGAACTATTTAGCATACCAAATTTCAATATACCGAAATTTTGACATGATAAACCAAAAATTTGGTACACTAATAGGTATGGAAGTTTTGGTACGATAACCATACCAAACCTACCATTACTTCAGAGTAGACTAGGCCATTGAAAAAAAAAAAATTGGTAAGTCAACCTTCAAAGAAATCTAATGGTTTGAAGTTGTGTCACATATTTAATGAGATTCATTTTAATTTCTTTATTGCTTTTGATCCTTCATCTTCTCCACTCATGTCTATACCACCATTTACCCTCCTTTTGCACGCCAACATGGTTGACTTCTCTGGTCGATCTTCACACCGTAGCAAAACTTGACAACTATTTTGAAGGTCTCAGAGAGGAAGTTAGAGAGAATTCTTGGGTTTCGTCGTTGTTTTCATCAATTTGTCCAACAACTCTTACATGCATTATGCAAGAAGGAGATGAGATGGGAGGGAAGAATCGATTTGATATACTAATTTCTTGCGACTTCATCCCACTTAAAAAGTTTGATTTAAGGTGAAGTCAAAAGCTAAATGTGACCCAATTTCTCTCCTATATTTTTATTGGTTTTCGCTATAGGTTTGATCTTTTCTTTTAAGGTAAAGAGAATTGAACGCTTAACCTATCTTAATCTTAACACAAAACATCGTCAACCTCACGACTCGAGTGGTTGCAAAAGATGAAAATTTGATTTTTGTAATATCAACTTAATGTATCAAATTCACCGATATTATAACACGTGTAAAATCTTAATCCAATATATATGTTGATTGTTGACTGTGAAAGTGTGAAGTACATGAACAAATTATCCAGTATATTAACTCATATGTTCACAGCAGCTTTATTTACAAACACAAAAGAACAATGTACAGCAATTTTGTAGTCATAGAATTGTTAGCAGAAAGCTAACCAGACTCTGATTCTTTACATGAAGAACACAGTCATCGATCTAAAGCAGAAAAGTACGGAGCTTGTTGGGACGTTCTTTTCGGAGTTTGAGAATTCTCATCCTTCCTTGAGCTTAATGGTGAAGTTTGCGGCATGAGCTCCGACAATCGAATTCTTTCACTGCTTATTTTGTTCTGTGGAAAACAAAATATTGGGATCATGCATGCAGGTTATGTATATCTTTCTTGTGTATACAAAACACTGGGAACTCAGAAGCAATACGAAAAACAAGCTTAAAGATTAAGTTTTATATACCTTAAACTTCAAATCCTGCAATTCTCTGTCCATTGAAGTAATCTTGTTCTTGATTTGCTCGAGCGCCTCTTCAGCAGCAGACGGGTTTATATGTGTCGATTGCTTTGTTATTCCAGCAGCCTGAAAGTTATTCCAAAAGGAGATATAAGTCCGGGTCCTGGATTGACTTTTTTATTTTACAAGAGTGAATGGTTATTAAGTGCCAAATGACCGTTAACATACCTTCAAAACGCTACTACAGAGGCCTAACAATTTCTGTGCTAGTTGCAACTTCTCCTCCTCAGTTTCCTGTAGCGGAATCACTTGTATTGTTAAGCATCAAACTATGGGTTTGATGGCACCTCTCTCTCTCTCTCACACACACACACACAGACACACACACAAAAGACAACACTAACCTTTAGTTTTGCACCCAATCGTTGCTCTTCATCAAAATTGACACAAGGGTTCTTCCCACAGGAAGCACGAAAGCAAGCAAGCTCTTCCTTGACACGTGAAAGAATAACTTCTGTCCTACGGAGCTTATTGCTAAGTTCTTCATTTTGTACTTTTAACTTGTGATTTTCTTCCTGTTACATTATAGACAACCCACTCAGATTGAAATGGAATAGAATGATAGGTAAGGTAATACAGAAGCAGAGGTTAGCAGGACTTCGTTAGCAAGAATATTGGTAATGTCATGCCTTGATTTTTGCATGATGATGAATTCGCTGGTGGAGGTTTTGCTGACCCGACAGCTTATCTACTTCTCCTTCAAGTTCCATCACCCTCATTTTATGATTTACATTCTCCGCCTACACAGTAAATGTAGTAAGCGAAACAATAAAAAGGATGAACATTCACTTCAAGAAATAATATATCAAAAACGCAGTCTCAACCTTCAGCATTTCATTTTCGGTTTTAAGTAACTGATCTCGCTGCTTAAGTTTTTCCAAAGCAATTTGCACAGCTATGAGTTCAGCCTGTTTTCGGTCAATTTCCTCTAGCCACCTGGAATATCAGCATGCAGAAACTTAAATATATGAATGATAGAACAATCACTAACTCGATTCAGAAGTTTTGAGTTGCTCACCCTTGTCTTTCCTGAATGAATTCACTCAGCTGTTTTTTCAGCTTAGCTACCTCTTGCTCCTGAATGAAAGACCAAAACCAAACATAAGAAAACACAAAACAAAAGTATCTATCTGAGTATCAGTATAATCAAAGCTGAATACCTTTTCTTGAGATTCCACACTATGAAGCCGAGCCTTCTCCGTTATTTTTTGCACTTGTTGATTATCCAATAGTGACTAGCATTAACAAAAAAGATAAGGGTCAGTTGAGCATCATAGCAGTTTACATAAAGTCCCAGTTGCAAGTGAAGATTCGGATACATTTTTCCTTTTCTCATTCTGTTTTCTCGGTACTGGCAGTATCATGTACGAACATCGAACACATAATATCCTTTTAGAGGAACAGTAATATAACTCTTTGTTATATTGTAAGCGATACAATAGTAATGACATTATTGGTTAGGATAACAGCTTGGAACTATGTAACATACCACGTAACTAGTCATATCCAATTTGACTCCCAGTAAGTCCCGAATCACATCATGTGTCATGCTTTCAGCAGCAGCTAATCTAGCATTCAAAGCAAATATCTGCACCACACGAAAAAGGACAAACAGAATCATTTTGTGGTAGAAGAATGCACACAACAGCTTGTAGAAACCAAGTAGGACATTAAAGGCCTACCTCTTTTTGTCGACTGAACGCTAAGGATTCAAGCTCTTCAATGCGCACCCTTGCAGCTGTAAGATCCTCATCCTTCTCAGATTTTATCTGCTGTGCCATACCCAAGCCAATGCATTTAAATGGGGAACCAGAGCCTCTAGGCTTTGCAGCATGTTTCTCTGACTTGTTTGATGAAGAGCTTGTGGCATGAGTTGAATGGCTTTCAGGTCTGACTTGTTCGGCCATAGATTCCAATACTTTAAACTGTTTCCACATTTTATAGTACAAAATTGAATAATTAGAAATTGCATATTTGAAACAAATGTAAGCGGAAAACAAAAATTATGTCAAGTCACATGTAAACTGGCAATCTTTCTACACTAGACAATGAAATTTAATCTTTTAGGATACCTTCTGTTTGTACTCACAAGCCTGTGCTTCTGCATGCAAATTCAGCTCAGAGATATGTGCTTTAAATTGGGCAATCTGTCAGGAAAAAACAAAACAATGATACTCCAAAACTATATCACAACAGATGTGACTCGATCCTCACTCCATTCATTAGAAAAACCCGCTGTTTAACAAGGCAACCTCAGATTAAGGTTGGAATTAACTGTAGTACAGGTCAACATACCTCTGCATCCTTCTCAGCTAATTCCTTCTCAAGTATTTGTATATTGTGTAGGGCTTCTTGAAGGGCTTTCTCTTTCTCACCTAAATATCTGTTTTAACAAGAAAATTACAGTTCATGATATAATGTATATTTATCAAAACAGTTGAGTGTGTTTGTGCATTTGAAGAAAATTATGGGAGGATCTGCTCTATACCTTTTCATGTCAGCATTAGCATTTTCAACATTCTGCATCTGGTGTTCTACAGCATGAAGTTCCAATTCAAGCTCTTCCCCATACAATCGTTGTCGTTCAGCCTCTCCCTTAACAATATCAACCTACGAAGGAATACAAAAGACATGGTGTTGATATGATGAATCAGATACAAAACTCCAACAAGATTCGCAATCCAATTGTTACCTTATTTTCCAGCACATCTACAGTACGTTCAAGCTCCTCAACGGACCTCTCTAACAGCTTCACCTCTGCCTCTTTGTCGTCAGCATAGATTTTTCTTAATTCAGCTATCTGAAATTATTGAAGCATAGTAGAATGAGGAGAAGTAAAACAGATTTAAAGAAAGAAAAAAAAGAGTACATAAAATGTTTGTGCAAAACAAGCATATACCTGTTGTGCTTCATTAGCAATTGCTTCAATTTCATCAGCTCGTGCCAGTTCTCCTTCAAACTTTTCCTTCAACTGAAGCATCTCAGTGTGAAGAAGATCCTTTTCATTAGCGAGTTCATTCAAATTGTCCCTCAAGGATTCATTCGAGTCATTCATTTGGTCAAGAGCATTACTCATTTCAAGGACTTCCATTTTCAAGCTCGCAGTAATCTTCTGTTTCTCTGTCAACTCCTTCTCAACAGAAGTTCTCGTGGCCAAAGCATCTTCAACTTGAGCTCTCAGTTCCAGGTTTTCATGGGACAGAAATTTTAGAGACTCGCGCTCTTCCAATAAACCCTGCTCAAGAGCGGAGATTATATCTCTTTTCTCCTGCAATTGAGTTTCAAGCATTTGGCTATTAGCCATGGTCTCTTCGAGCTCACATGATTTTGCTGAAAGCTCATCCTCTAGAGCCTCCAAAGAAGATTCCATTTCCGCAATTTCATCTTGGTGATCCTTATTATTAGATGCAGATTCCTGCAACAAACTCAGATCAAATAACAAGCCATTAAGAACATCATCCTTCCTCAGTAACTCAGCCCGAAGAGAGAAATTTTCAGACACCAGCTCCTTAGCCTGACACTCTAAGCAGCCGACCTGTTCTATGAACTGAGATATTCTCTCTCCAGTTTCACATAGTTCTTGAGACATTTTGTCCACAATCATGAAACCTTCTTCCTTTATAATATTACATGATCTGTTATTCGCTGAATCCAAAGTTTCCACTGAATCAACACACCTTTTAGCTCTTGCACTTGAAATGGTGAGGAGTTCATCCAGTTCAGCATTTTTCGCCCTTAGATGAGTCTCCAGATTAACAATGTGAATCTCCAAAGAGAATATTTCATCTTGCAACCTGCAGTTTTCTTTATCGAAGACACTTATACGGCTTAATGAAGATGAAAACTCAGAATTCTTCTGCTCCAAATGTTTAAGAGCCATGCTGTTTTCTGTATTTAACTTCTCTATCTCAGTTTTAAGCGACTCATTTTCCGTCTCCAAGCAGTTCAATCTGCTCAGCTCTGCCTTTTTCTTCTCTAGCACATCTTGAAGTCCATCTGATGAGGTTTGCAACATGAGAATATCATTTTGCAACCTTTGGTTTTCCTGTTCAAGGACAGAAAACTGATGGGCAGAAATTTCTAAATTCATTTCCTTAGTGTTTAAATCTTCCCGTAGTTTCTGGTATTCAGCTTCTAGAGCTTGAACCTGGCACAAAAGCTTCATCTCTGTTTGCTTAGCTTCACCAAGTTCACCTTTCAAGGCATCATTTAAAAGAGAAACATTCTTTAGCAACATAATTTCTTGTTCAAGAGCCTTCTTTTCTTCATTCATTTGTGCAACCCTTAAACTGCTTTGGTTCAGCTGTGACAATAGATGCTGCCTCTCCTTTTGTGCTTCCGTTTGCAGACAAGCAACTTCAACTTCCTCATCCAGTAAGAGCTGTCCTTTCAGTAGTGTATCAACCTTTGAAAAAATTACTTCTTTCTTGAAGTCTTCGAGCATCGCACAACATGTGATATGCTCTCTCTCCATATCAGCTTTGTGCTTAGCCATAACTTCTAACTCTGATGCCAAGATAAGTGACTCAAAGTCTTTCGAGCACCACTCTATCATGAAACACTCAACTTGAGATTCAAATGCCTCCTCTTTTCCTTTCAGAAATTTCTCTTGCTTCAGAAGGGATGCTCCAAAATTGGAGTTACTGTCCAACTCTTTCATTAGAATAGCAAGCTGAGATCCCATATAATTAGACCTCTGTAGCATTAACTCCTCTTGAAACTGAAGTTCTGATATTTGTTTCTCGAAAGTGTTGAGCTTTGTACTAAGCTTCCCAGCTTCCTCTTCTCTCCTTGAGATATGATCATAACTGTTCTTAATGTCTGCCAGTAATTTCCCCTTAAGAATCTGACACATCTCAAGCTCCCTTTGGGACCTAACGTTGTGTTGTCTCAGATCAGCTATTAAAGTACTTGATTCACAAATTCCATGTTGAAGCAGACCGTTCTCTGCATTCAGCCCAGTCACTGTTTCCAGAAAAATTCCCATGTGACAGAGGTGTAGCACTGACACTGCACAATCCTTCACAATTATCTCAGACCAGATGTCCTCGACGGATGAACGGATTAACTTTGAGGAGTTTGAAAGGAGAGACTTCACACTCTGAAAATCAGAGGCTAAAAGAATGAAATTTTCGTTGTAATGAGCCTGGATCCCTGCTAGTATACCCTCCAGCTCTACAACCAGAGCCTTTGTTTCCGTTATATCCGAGGTAAGCAAGTCTTCAACTTCTGCAAATCGTTGACTGCTCAGATAATTGATCGACTGCAAGCTCTGAACCTCATTTAGTAACATATCCTTATCACTGATTAATGAGGCTTCCAGTTTCTTCAACCTTTTTATTTCGAGCTTCATTGTTTTATTAGATATCATCAGCTTGTTGATCATATTATCTGCTTCCTTTATAATATCCTGAGCCTCCTCAAACTTAGGAAGAATGCAAGAGACCTCAGCAGTTTTCTGGGCTGCAACTAACTTTGCATCATCAAATTCCATTTCCATCATCTGTGAGAGGAGAAACAAAAGTAGACGGTAAATTCCTTGAATGGATAAATATACATACGAGTGAGTTTGACATAAATTTACAATTACGAACAACATGCGAAAACAAAAGAGGTTGGAAAAGGACAATGGATTCAGGAATCAGCAGAAGTTATCACTATCTTATAAGGTTGTTTTTGCTTTTCTCGTACACATATGATAAGCAGAAGTCTTCGTCAGAGAATAGGGTATAGCTTAACAAAGAAACAACAAATAATTGAATTTGGAAATGCAATGGATTACCTCTTTCGTTTGGCACCATTGGGAGCCAGCTTCCTGCACCATCTGTTGACATACCTCCAGTTTATGATCTTGAGCTTCCAACTTCACTTTCGATTGCTTTTCTAAGTTTTTCATAGTTGAATGCAGATTAATGATCTGTGTTCTGAGATATTTCATGCTTTCGCGACTCTGTTGCTCAGACTTGCACATCAGTTTGTTCTCTTCACGTAGCTTGTCCATCTCAGCTTGTACCTCTTTTAAGCTATCAAGGGCAGTTTCTATTTCCTTTTTCAAAAGTAAAATGGTAACATCTCTACCACTCCCAGCCTTAGCCTTGGAAGGTCTTTCAGACTTCAAATCTTCTCGAGTGCTATTGGCACACATACTCTTCCGCACTTTGAGAGTGCACTCAGACATATCAGGCTTACCAGCTGTCAGGTCTTCAACAAACTGTTCGTTTCCATTCTGGTCTAGAATTGTTTCCGTAGCTATCTGCAACAATATTTAGGTATAGCAATTACAAAACAGAACACTCTTCCTCTACAACATAGACCCGAACCTCAAGATCAAGCTATCAGAAAATAAAATGCTAACTTACCCATCCACCACCCTCTCCTTTGGAAGACTTAGAAGATAATTGTGAATCCTTCCCTTCAGAGCTTGTATGATGCTCCACATTTGTATTCATGCATGACCTCAATGTGGATACGCCAGTTTTTAGCTCAGCTAGCTTCTCCCTTGCCATCAAAATGGTTTTCTCTTCGACATCTTCAAGCTTCTGTCGTATAGTGAAAGCACATTCCCGCTCCTCAGAAAGCTCCTGTCTTAGATCAGCACAGGTTCTCTCCAACTCTTCAACTTCCCCAGATAAAGAGTGAACTTTTTTCTCTGCTTCTGCTATCACAGTCTCCTGATCACTGAGAATGGCAACCTTTGTGGAGATCAAGTCTTCTGATTCACTAAGCTGAATATTCTTACACTTTAAAGCATCTTCGTTACTACGATTCATCTCTGCTAATTTATCCACAACAACGAAAGCAACTGTTGCACAAACTGATGTTTTCCTGATCTGATCTTCAAGCAGCTTCACTCGATTCTCAAGCTTTTCCACTCTAGATGACTTTGCATTCAACTTTGTTGTCAACATGAGCATTTCTTTCTCCTTTTCACAACACTCCTGCTCATGTGCTTCAGTAATAGCCAGTGTTGCTCCTCTCATAGACTTCAGCATGCACTCCACTTCATTTTTCTTGTTGTTTGCATCCTCCAAACATCTCCTAAGTTCTTCAATTAAATATTCCTTTTCAGAGATGATTCGTACAGTCCTTCCAACTTGTTCTGAGAGCCAAATCCTTTTCTGTGGAAAGGAATTGGATATAAGGTTAAGTTGATCAGAGGCACCATCTAGTTCCTCACACCCATCAGACAGAACTTCTTCAATCTCACTAGACAATAATGTCCACTCTCGTGACAACGTTCTTACTTTCCCATCTTTCTCCTCAAGCTCTTTACTTAACCGTCCATTATCTTCGTTCAACATGTACAACTTTTCTCGCACCTCCTTCAGTTCCGTTTCCAAAATCATTACATTTTTGTTCATCTCCATATCTTTTAAATGGCTATTTTGAACTTGCTGCTGAAGCATGCCAAGTTCTTCCTGCATACAGACGATCACCTCTGCAGTTTCAGCCTCAACCTGCCTACGAACTTCATCCATTTCTTCTTCATTTGACACTTGAAATGCACGATCACTTTGGTACCATGTATTCAATCTCTTGGCCTTTTCAAGGGAATCATGCATCCTCTTCAAATTTCCCTGTAATGGTGAGTCATAGTTGTTTGAGCAGTTCGAAGGTGATAAGTCTCTAAACTCCTTAAGGGTCCGTTGTTCCTTTAGAGCCCTCAATTCAAGCTCCCGTTCACTCAAAAGCTTCCTCAGGTCCTCAAGCTCATTGATTGACAGAAGTTGCTGAGACTCGAGAGCTTCAATAACCGATTTAGCCTCCTCCAATTGGCGGCTTGCATCATCATGCTGTTTGCTTATCACAAAAATTTCTTCATTTGCCAGATGAAGATCTTTATTTAAGAAATATACCCTCTCCTCTTGAGAAGTCCTCTCTTCTCTCAAAATGATATTCACTATATCCAATTCCAGCTGTAAATTTAAAATTTCTTCTGCATGTTTTATTCGAGGGTCAAGCTTCGGTTCCACCTCCTCAATGGGAACAGCATTAAGCACCTGAAATCAAAAGGTGGACTTAGTGAAGCCTTAAAGTAAATTTACAGCTTCCCTTTTCTTTTTTCCATAGTGTTAAGGAACTCAAGTCAAATATTATTTTTAAAACACAAATACCTTTAAAGCTACACAGTCATTTTGATCAATGGGTGTAGACTTGAGCTTGTTAAGCATTGTATGCAGATCTTCAATATCTCTGCAAAATACAAAAAAGAAAAAAATCGCATAAGAAAAAAGATGATTTTACTTCAATAGTGAGAAATAAGATGATATTACTTCTATAGTTAGGGATGCTGATATAAAGGAGAAAACAGGAAGGCCAATTTTTCTAACCTATTGAGTTTTGCATTTTCCTCCAAACAAGTATTTAAGCTGCGCCTGCATTCCTCTAACTCATGGAGAGTATTTTTCAACTGAAACCACGAAAATGAGCATGTGAGTATAAGTAAAATAATGAAGGGGGCTATTTAGATGTCTTGTAAGGCACGACTGAGTTCAACCTCCATATTAAGGGGATCACCATCTCTGTCCATGCACACTGTTTCCTGAATCAGTAAAGGATATATAATTAGAAAAAAAAAGAAATAATATACCAAACACACGTATATTAATATCTAGCCTGCCCTTAAGGGAATGCATGACGAATCGCCACCATATATTCCGTAGTGAATGAAACTTGAAACATAAGGAACCACAATATAGAGCTAAAGGAACCAACCTGAGGTTTCATACTAATATTTGGGTTGCTATGCTGCTTAGAGTGTCCATCAAGAAATTGTAGCAACTGAAAATAAAAATTGTATTTATTTTGTTATATTGCTTGCCTCTAAACAACATCTCAAATGGGGAAAAAAATTATCTTAGTTGGATCCATAAGTACCTGATCTCGCAGTTTAGAAACTTCATCCAAGAGTATCTCTCTCTCCCCTTCTTCATAAAATTCTTGAAACCTATGAATTCCACAGTGGAAATATCAATTCAACTGATAGGATAGTCAAAAATTGATTAAATTACGAAAAAACTACCTTCTAAGTTGGTCCAAAAGCCTTATGTTCTCCAATGCAAACCGAGTGACTTCAGGATTCTTATCAAGTTTTGATTTAAGTAGCTGAATCTCTTCAGAGAGTGCTCTGTTCTCATCCTGTAAATAAGACTCCACGGTAATAGAACCACTAAGAAGTGACTCCATTTTCTGAATTTTGTCTTCTCGAAACCTTAGCATCATTTTAGTCCCCCTGGTGTCTTCCTCTCTTTGACGAACCTGTGAGCAATAAGAGCTAAGGAGTTCAGCCACAATTTACAGGAGAAAAAAATAATAATCTTAAGAAAAGACTCCTCAAATACCAAACGGTTCAGCTGCTCTTTTTCAGCTTCAAGTTGCTTGAGTGCAGCTTCTGCCATCTGCTCCCTTCTCAAGGCACCCACAAGCGTCGTCTCCAAAGATTTTAACTGATTTACCATAATTTTCAGACAGTGTGATGATTCGCAATACAAAAGACAATTGGTGACATGGCTCATGGTAAACTTAGCAGTAGTACAGCAGTCTCAGAAGTTAGAACTAAAATGGGAAAATTTAAATCTAAAGATGATTAATAGTTTTTCTTTTTGTTTGGGATGCTTGTAAACAAAGCAATTGATAGTATGTTCACCCCGTCATGATATTAACATGAAACACCAGCTATTTAACATGAAGCTAGAGATGAAACAGCCATAGAACAAACATAGGTTCATTCAACTTTCCAGTCAATAATAGCAGATACTTCTAACCTACCCAAACAAACTAGCATGGCCATTTCTAGACAGTTAAAAGGAAGCGTACCTGTTTGGTGGAAAGTCTCACAGTTCCTTTTGTTTCAATTTCAAGAAAATCATCATCGCACTCTAAGTCCATATCACACACGTTTTCACTACAATCAATTTTTCGTACTTTATGTGTGTCTTCAAAATTGGCCGAACAAAACGACAAAGATCGGGAGACATTATGGCGCTTAAGAATGGAAAGCTCCTCCTGTTCCAAAAAGCATGCCATGATTTGAACTATTAGTTATTTGGTATAAGAGAACATAGAAGAACAAAGATGATCAGTACCACCTTTAGGAGCCGTATTTGGTGTTGTAGGGCCATGACATTGCCTGTGGCATCCTCATTCACCACAGCCTGTACAATGAAAAAGAAGAAATATATAGGTCAATAAATTGGATGATTCCATTAAACCATACTGCCTAGTCACCATTGCTTATAATATGAAACTTACGTTGTTTTGAATAAGTTTTGCTCTCTGAGCAAACTTAAGGGTATTCAGTGTTTCAGCCGCACAACTGTAACCAAAAGAACATCATATTATTAAAAGTTACAAAAAGTTTCATGAAAGTTTTGGGGCTTGATGTGATTCTAACACTAACTAAAATAAAATCGAGCAAAAAACGAACCAGATAGAAGGGCTGACATTTGCAATGATCATTGTTTTTGAGTTTCCACCAAGTGAGTCCTGCATTTATTTGGTATGCAGATTAACAATATGTCTAAGAAAGTTAACAGTTGATTAAGGCATAGAAGATGGAATTACTATTAACCTGTAGTAGGAAGGTTAATCTAGAGTCTCTATAAGGTACATGCTTCAGCTTCCCATGTGCCATGTCCACTAGAACCATTATAACATGACTACACATGATATATTAACCATTATCATTAAGAAGGCTAGAACAAGAAACACATGAATACACATAGAACCCAGAGAGTAAAAAATTACCCTAGTGTAGATAGTGATTTATTAATATTAGCAGCTTCCTTCAACCGCTCACCCTCCGCACCAGAACTTTTCTGCCTGCAAAAAATTATTGGGTTGGGACTTGGATTAATATTTAATGCCTTAAAAACCGGTTCGGTAGAAGGATATTTATGTAATTAGATATATACACACAAAAACACATATATCGACAACTGTGAGCCTGATACCGTACCTTTCTGAACCAGCCAGATCAACTAGGTTTAGTCTAGCAAACCGTAGGTTAGTTGTGGAATCTTTTTCCCACCTACTCTCAATTACACAAGTAAAGACACTGTGCGAACGACTACTTTCTCTGTTCATATTTGTTGCAGCAACTCTCCTATTTGAAGAACCCTTTGTGCAACAAATAACAATTTAAGTCAGTGACATGATTTCATACGTACATTTATGAAGAGAAAAAACTCTGGCTCTAACTTAGCAAGAAAATGATCGATTAGTGGGAACCTGGATGAGAAGCCTGAGGATATCGCTCACAGTATACACTTCAAATTCAGAGAGATTTTCTACGTAAACACCCTGCTTAACATCCTCCCGCAGCTTAAAACAAAAAATAAATAATAACAAATGAGAAATACTTCAAGATGGTTTAGGCCATGCACTTGTAAAAGAATCAGCTTACAAGCAAATTGGTAGATGACGGATCAAGGAGATCCGTAATTTGTTCATTGTAAATCTCTAAGAAAGAGCACTTGCAATTGTATTTTAATTTCTCATCCCTCCGAATTTCCTCTTCCTGGATATACAAAGATGAAGTAAAAGCAGATAGTGAGAAATTTAAGCATTTCTCACATATAACCAAAAAGATAAAGTGGAAATAGAAATTTAAAAATTAAATAATATTACAGCTTGGATCCTTGCAAATAAAAACTCAAAAATGCGGGGTGTCATTCCACGATGTGGACTGGGCTTGGTTTCTAAATCGTCAATCTCCCCAAGCATTGTATGTGTTTTTCCACTTCCTGTCTGCAAATCGAAGCCCAAATATTATTAACACGCTGGTTTGAGCATTTGAAGCAAGAATAGGAATTATATACTAGACAGAATGAATGGAGAAACTAGATTAAACAAACAGGACTAGGTAAGCATCAAAGAGATATCTCCACCTCCATCTAGTTGCATGACAAAGAAAAGTTCAGACATCAAAGTGAGAAAATTAAGAAGGATTTAAGCCTTCTTAATTTTCTAATACAAGATTTTGCATAGCTTTGACAGTCTTTATGTAAATCGAACACAATAACAGGCAAATGCAGCAGACTCTGAGCATGGTTTTCATGGTCGCATTAACTTCACATTACAAACAGTTTTTTATGATTAAACAGCTCCATGCTATTACCTGACCATAGGCAAACATGCAGCTATTATATCCCGACAAGCAATTCTCCACCATGGGGAGACCGGCCATCCTGAAAAGCATTTCCTACAAAACTCAAAAAGTTAAAACCACAGGTAACTAGCGCAAATGAGTAGAACAGTAAGAAAAAGAAGACAATAATACCATAATTTGGTCCCAAATCACACCTGGTCAACGGTTTCACAGGCTACATGATCAAATGTAAATCGACTTTCTGGTTGCCCAATCCAGGAAATTGTTTGAGCACTTTCTTGCTTCAAACACCTGTTGTAACCGTGTAAACTACGCTCCATGCTGTTGAGAGGACGCACACGAATGAGAACCTGAATAACATTTACAATCATGTTAGTATAACTTCCAAACTGCTGAAAATTGGCAAACTCAACGTGTCCAGTTCACTTTTTTCAATCAGCCAAAACGAATAAGCATTGAACCCTAAATACCATTAAACAAAAACCCACTATTGAAACAATAAATGTATGTCAAAATAGGATTAAAAACTGAGCTTTTTACCTGTACATTGTGATCCATCCAGAAAGATGGATCTTCCTTGAGATCAAAGTGAGGCACTTCGACTGAATTAACCACCGTGGACGGACCACAAGAAATAGGAATCCCTTTATACAATGAAGCAAAATTCCCCACTCGAGGACCAACACTTCCATCAGCCTTATTCCGAAAACCCGAATTCGGAGGCTTAGAAACACTCTTGGTCGGTGTTGTCTGCGTCGAGTTACTCTCCGAATAACTCGAAGCAGCTCTACCAGCTGTCCTCGTCACCCGAGGAGTCACACTTCCCAAACCCCCATTTCCAGCACCACCACCTCCTCTACTCACTTGGGTCGAATAATTAGCCCCGTCCTCGTGCAAATCGCCGGCGGTCGTACTAATAGGTTCGGTCTTCTGGGCCCACCCGAATCGCTTCCGGGAACCATACCTATCGGGAGTCCGAAGAGGCAACGCCGGATCGGAAACTTTGGCCTTGGGAGCCTTTGTTGGTGTCTTTTCAACCCTGCTCCGAATACCCACCTCTTGTTCCGGCTTGGGTTGCTGGACCGGATCTTGAATCGGGTTAAACGGAGCTCTCGACTCCGAGCCAATTCGGATCGCCGATGAGTCCTTCGGGTTTACCGGCACGTTCTCGGCCTCTTCTTTCCTCCCGGAATTCGAACGCAGGAATTTGAAATCCCTTAACATCCTAATGCCCAGAAATTCAACAAATACAAGAAAATGGGGTTTGGTCAGAGAACAGATCGATACATATAATATTTATATGAATTTATTGCTGAAATTATGTAAAATTTTACCTGAACGATGAATTAAAAAACAAAATCTGAAGCTTCCGAATTGTGAAAACTGATTAGACTGACGAATCTTTGGAGGGAAAAACAAGTGGGTGTTGATTCAATAGCTCATTTGGTTCTGAAATCGAGCATCTTTCGCCCTCTCTATCTCTAGTTCTCTACTGTGAAATTTTGAAAGGTGTTTGAGATTTTGAACTGAGTTTAAAAAAGCAGAAAGGGTTCGAAGGTTTCGAGGGACGGCTGAGATTTATCTTGGATTTGAAATTGGGGCATCCTCGCGGTTTTGGGATTTGAATTGCTGGGTCTTTTTGGTAAAATGGAATATGAGCGGGGTCGTTAATTATGACAGCAAATTTAAATTTCAACGGCTACGTGCGGCGTGCCACATGCCCCTTTGACCGTGAGCTTTGGGATTTATACGGTTGCTTTTTTCTTTTTTTTTTGAAACAAGGAAAAAAGATATTAAAGGGAAAATCCCAAACACAACCATTCCCTACATAATTAATCTAAATAGAATGAAGAGCAAATGAAGGAATGCAGTGATCCCAAATATGACAATCACGAATAAGAAGGCCTTGGCGAGCTAAAGCATCCGCCACAAAGTTAGCCTCTCTAAAAATACGTTTCTAGTCAATGCAAGCAAATTTGGTCGTTGTCCACTTAACATCTTCAATAAGAGCACTTCCACCAGAAGCAAAAGAGGCCGGCACCCAGTGGAAAAAATAGGTTGAGACTCAGCCAATCCACTCCAGCCCGTGGAATAGACTGGCACCTAGCCCAAGCCAATCCACAGGCCGACCTAAAATCAACAGAGGAAGGAGACGGCTCATCTGACGCCATGCTAACGTCATGGCTACCGTCTCTCTCATCTGGAACCCCATCCCGATCCCTGGAACCCCATCAACCCCCTTCCCCTGATAAATCCATATATTTAACACCATGTCCCCCTTCCAAATCGTGATCTTCCTGCAGCTCGAATTGTCGTCGATCGGTTGATTAACTCGGATCTTCCTGCAACTGAAATTTTTTTTTTCCCGTTTTGTATATTTTCGATGAATTTTTGAATATGTAGGTGTTGATTTTTGGGGGTTTACGGTGTGCGCAGGTCCAGGATGGTGGGTGTCCATGTTCAAAGTAGGGTAGGTTCGACGGCGCAGTGTACAGAGAGAAGAAAAAAGTGGGAAAAGTGGGAAGAACAAGAACAAAAAGAAGACAGGAGTCAGAGAGAAGAAGAAGAAGGGAGTCAAAGAGAAGAAATCAGAAATTAAAAAAACCAAATTATTATTTTATAATAAAAAATAATAATATTTTAATAAAATTGACTAGGCTATTTTTTGTTAGGGGTGGAGATGTTTTGGCTTATTACGGTTCACTAGGGTCTATTACTGTTCACTTGAGTAGATAAATGAGATGGGTGCTGGCGCAAAATCTTTAAGGGTGGAATTGCTCTAATAAGAACCAGATTCCATGACATCGCACCCCGGTCTAACGCTGACTGAGTGACCAACTTAGGGCTAGTTTGGTATTGATGTGCTTTAAAAAAATAAAAAAAAAATGTTTCTGCTGTGCTGTGAGAATAAACAGATGTGAAATAAAGTTGTTGAGTGTTTGGTAAACTTTGTTTAGTTAAAGTGTCTAAGTGTTTGGTAAACTTGTTTAGTTAAAGTGTCTAAGTGTTTGGTAAATTTTTATATAAATTGCTTTAATTATGTTAAATGACTAAAAAGGATATGACATTTAATGTGATATAATAATTGTCAAAGACAATAATGTTGGGACAAAGATAGTAATTTTGTAAAACATGTTGGGGTATACTTGCTATTTGAAAATTTCATTAAATAACCATTAATTACTACGAATAGTGGAAGCAAAGGAAATGGAGTTAAAGAAGTCACTGGATACTGATGAGGTTTTTATGGAAAATGAGGAAAGCGAGTTTGAGCAAGTTCAAGCTGGAGGTAATAGGAAGAGGATTAGAAATGAGTATAAAGGTGGAGCGGGTCCTAGCTACAATTTGGAGGATGTTGATTGATGAAGTCACTATTATGGAACTGTAGGGACTAGGATGTTTTTTGTATTATCAAACCTAGATCCAACCTTGATAGATTGCTTAATGCTTTATTGTCTAAGAGATTCACGAATGTGTTTTTTGCTAGTGGGAAGGGAAGGGCAGGGGGTCTTTGCCTTTGTTGGAACAATTGTAATATTAATATGAATGTGCTTGCTCATAACTCTAGATTTATTCACTGTGATGTTTTAAATAAGCAAACAAACATTAATTTCTTATGTGCCTTTGTTTATGCTTATCCTCAAAAACATCTTCAACCTCAACTATGGAACAATATCCTTGATCTAAAGCCTACAAATATCGGAATTAACCCTTGGCTTCTCTTTAGTGACTTTAACAATATCATTAATATTACTGAGAAGGTTGGAGGTAATAGAAGTGTCCCAACTCACATGATAGACTTTAATAAGTTCTTAAGTGATGGCAGTTTAATTTCAATCCCTACATTAGAAATGCCTTTCACTTGGTGTAACGGTCATAAAGATAGCACCATTATTTATGAAAGATTGGACAGGACCATTACTAACTCTGATTGGCTAAACTTACACCCCATTGCCTCTCTTCATAAGTACCACATTTTCAACTCAGATCATAGCCCAATCTTATTGGATACTAATACCTTATGTAACACTAATGTTGTAGGTAATAATAAGTTCAAATTTAAGGCTATGTGGTTAACTATATGAATGCTGTAAGTAAAGCTTGGAGTGATGGCATGCCTAGTAACTCTTGTGATAAGGTTAGGGGTTACTTAGGTAGATTCAAATTTCTTATCAAGAAATGAAATAAGGATATATTTGGAAACATCTTTGATAAGAAAAAGGTTCTCATAAGTGAAATAGATAAAGTCTAACAAGATAGTATAAGCATGCATGATTCTAGCATTTTGTTAAACAAGGAGTGTGCTATTAAAAGGCAACTTTATCAAGTTCTCAGAAATGACGAAACCTTATGGGTAGAGGTGGAATTTTTTCTTGAAAATCCCGAACTGTCCCAAACCCATCCTGAAATTTGATAGAAAAATGCCTAAACCGAATTTCCTGAAAAATTCGGTACTTGAAATCGAACCGATCCCGAAAGTTTCGATTTGGGATTCAACCACATATTTGAAAGTGTTCGGTAATCCCGAACCAAACCGAATATTATATTTATTTATTTATTTATAATTTATAATTAGAAATTACTTTGACCGTTGAATTGGTTAAAATCTAATCCAACTGACCATTGTGAGTTAGGTCTTTTGTATTCCTCTCACTTCCTCAGACTCTCTCAGTCGTTCACTCTCCCTTTCTCAAAAAACTAGTTCGAACGCTGCTCTCGCCACTCTTTCGTCCACTTCAATGGTGCTCATCCGACCACACACAGAGAGATGTAGGAAGACGTGAATCCGCAACCAATTGAGTCCCAAAATCTAGGTAAGGGTTTCTAATTTTCACTAGTTTTTGTTCTTTAGGGTTTAGGGTCAAATTTCATGTTGATTAACTTGATTGATGAGTATTTTGTTGAATGTGTGAGGGTTTAAGGACTGTGGGTTTCAGATTAGGGTGGTTGCAATACAGGACCTGCTGCCTTTGGGAGGGTGGGTGCACGAATTTATGGGTTCATTCAGATTAAGATTAGGGTGGGTGGGTGCACGAATTTGTAGAATAAAATTATAAGGGATGGAGAGATAGGACCTGCACAAATTGTAGGGTGTTTCAGATTAGGGTGGGTGCAGTGCAAGACCTGCAGGCCTTTGGGAGGGTGGGTCACAGGTGGACGAAGTTGTCGGTTCATCGGATTAGGCTCAAATTAAGATTAAGGTGGGTGGGTGCACGAATTTGTAGAATAAAATTATAGTGGGTGGGTGCACGAATTTGAAGAGCAAATGAAGGAATGCAATGATCCCAAATATGACAATCACTAATAAGAAGGTCTTGGCGAGCTAAAGCATCCGCCACAAAGTTAGCCTCTCTAAAAATATGTTTCTAGTTAATGCAAGCAAATTTGGTCGTTGTCCACTTAACATCTTCAATAAGAGCACTTCCACCAGAAGCAAAAGAGGCCGGCACCCAATGGAAAAAATAGGTTGAGACTCAGCCAATCCACTCCAGCCCGTGGAATAGACTGGCACCTAGCCCAAGCCAATCCACAGGCCGACCTAAAATCAACAAAGGAAGGAGACGGCTCATCTGACGCCATGCTAACGTCATGGCTACCGTCTCTCTCATCTGGAACCCCATCCCGATCCCTGGAACCCCATCAACCCCCTTCCCCTGATAAATCCATATATTTAACACCATGTCCCCCTTCCAAATCGTGATCTTCCTGCAACTCGAATCGTCGTCGATCGGTTGATTAACTCGGATCTTCCTGCAACTGAAATTTTTTTTTTCCCGTTTTGTATATTTTCGATGAATTTTTGAATATGTAGGTGTTGATTTTTGGGGGTTTACGGTGTGCGCAGGTCCAGGATGGTGGGTGTCCATGTTCAAAGTAGGGTAGGTTCGACGGCGCAGTGTACAGAGAGAAGAAAAAAGTGGGAGTGGGAAAAGTGGGAAGAACAAGAAGAAAAAGAAGACAGGAGTCAAAGAGAAGAAGAAGGGAGTCAGAGAGAAGAAGTCAGAAATTAAAAAAACCAAATTATTATTTTATAATAAAAATTAATAATATTTTAATAAAATTGACTAGGCTATTTTTTGTTAGGGGTGGAGATGTTTTGGCCTATTACTGTTCACTTGAGTAGATAAATGAGATGGGTGCTGGCGCAAAATCTTTAGCGGTGGAATTGCTCTAATAGGAACCAGATTCCATGACATCGCACCCCGGTCTAACGCTGACTGAGTGACCAACTTAGGGCTAGTTTGGTATTGATGTGCTTTAAAAAAAAAAATGTTCCTGCTGTGCTGTGAGAATAAACAGATGTGAAATAAAGTTGTTGAGTGTTTGGTAAACTTTGTTTAGCTAAAGTGTCTAAGTGTTTGGTAAACTTTGTTTAGTTAAAGTGTCTAAGTGTTTGGTAAACTTTTATATAAATTGCTTTAATTATGTTAAATGACTAAAAAGGATATGACATTTAATGTGATATAATAATTGTCAAAGACAATAATGTTGGGGCAAAGATAGTAATTTTGTAAAACATGTGGGGGTATACTTGCTATTTGAAAATTTCATTAAA